CAAACTTTCCTGAGCCAATCTGATTCTGTGAAACAGGAAATATGAAATTGAATGCAGACGTATCAAAGAGAAACAGGCGACTAATATCTTCCTCTTGATCTGCTTTCGACAGCAAATCAAACATGGACAAAGCATTTTTTTTTTTCCTGGAAGATTTTCAGAAGCAGAAGTCTTGCTGTCCGTAATTATACTTGATGTCATCAAAGGCAGAACAAAAGGTCTATTTTGACTAACAATATTATGAGCTACTTCCTCGTTTTGTCTCTTTAGAAACAGACTATTTGAATAAGTGGAGCAGCGAGATCTGACCTCCGTTACCTCCGCCTCCACCGATGATATACGCGGTGTCGGAAGGTGGCCGGGATGGTTCTTCCTGTTTTGATGTTGGACTGTGCACCAACAGCTGCTCTACGAGGGTGACATGAGGATTAGCCTTTGTTCCCTTTGACACAACGGCTTCTTTTTTTAAAAGAGAGAGAGAAAGCTTTTCTTGGAAACTGACAAAGAGGAAACAATGAACAGCAATCATTAAGGATTCAATGTGTGAACAACTTTTTTTTCCCCCCCCATATGGGGTTTATATTGTTTTTTATCACCGAAGACAACATCACCGTCTCTTATGGCCACGTCAACACACAGCAGCTGGTACAAATGGAGTCTGTTACCTGTAACTGCTGCATATAGTTCACATGTTCTTCTGCTTTATCTGACGAACAGACCAAACACGCAGACACTAGAGTTGCAACCAATTTTTTTTTTTTTTTAAATCATGTGCTGAATATTTTTCTAAATGAACCAGTTACTTCAATTCTATGACAATTTCTACACATCACTATAAGCACCAGGAATCATCTTAATTTGTCTAAAAACAACAGTTAAAAACTCTAAAAAGGCATTGAGCTTCTCGCTTATTCACAATTTAGAAGCTGGAATGAGAATTTTTCACACTTTTATAGCTCAAAATGAAAAAACAAAACAAAGATTTTCTTGGTTTACCAGGTTGGTGATCATGAATTAAGTTTTGAAGCTGCTGAAACGTTTGGCTTTAGCACACGGTGAATGCAGCGATTGCCCAAATACAGAACTTTATTGTTTGTGCAGAATTTATTTCAAAACTCCCCTTTGCAGTTACATCTGATTAACAAGAGCGCGAAGACCCTCCGCTATCAGTCATATCGTCAAGTCGGTTTAGGTTCACCAGCGGTTCTCGACGATGGATCCATACAGGTGGATCAGATGAAAGCTACGTGTCAGGACTGTTCAAGAGCGATTAAGTATGTCGCTGATTTTAGATGGCATCAAGAAAATAGCGAGTGCAGCTCAAACCCAGCTCCCTGTGGCATTATAAATGTCTATATTTTGTAAAAAAATAAAATAAAAAAGGAAAACGAAGCAGTTTTGTTTCTGCTGTAATAAAAACACACCAAATCGTGACCTTAAAACCAAACTGTGATCTCTGTGCACCATTACACCTCGACCAGATTCTACGAACTCGCCCCGCGACATCTGAGATAAAAGACATCTCTAAATAAATAAAGAAGTGAAAGTCACACCAAGTCTAAAGTTACATGTACAAATGTGTATATTCTGATTTGACTCAGAGACGTATGGTGTGGGAGAGAAGTGCAGCAGTCGGTCACTCAGGTTTGCTGCTGCGGCTTCTAACAAAAGGGACAAATCAACAGTCAGAAGTACAATAACCAACCTCCCGCTGGTTTTATAACACCTGCATGTGGCCGTCTTTCTTCCCTCACACAGGATTCTTGCCTCCCCCCCCACAGCTCTCCCACGCTCCCCCGCGGAGGCTAATTGTTTTAGCTCTATTTACGGCATGTGGAATGTACGACTGTAAATTTAGTCATTATTTTAGCCACAATGTGCAGTTTGAACAACCCTGTTTAGCACCGCTATCATTCTGGATAAAGCAATTACCATAATTTACACTCACAGCAGAGTGGTCCGACGGAACAGCGTCTGCACAAGGACAACACAGCCGACCGAGGGGTGGCTTAAGGTCACTGTCAGAAGAACGTCTCACTGCAAGACGATTCTTCAGAAGCGGGAAGTTTTGAAAATAGATTTAAAGAAAACCCCTATCACACACACAGCCGTACGGGCTTCACAGGACCACAGCCGCCCACTACATCGTAAAACACTGGAGAGAAATTGACAGAAATAACAGTGAGTTGCTGTAAATGCAGCGGGGATGGCTCCCACACACACTGCTGGTTTTTCAGTACTGGTCTCCCAGCATCTTGCCAAACCACCATTTATCTCCCTCATAAACAAAAGAGCCACACATTGGCAGTGAATGACACACACACACACACACACACACGCCTGGAAACGGGAGACGTTTCTTGGCTCCAGCCATCATTTCGCTATAGAGGTGACTGGGTTGCTGGGAACGACACGCTGATGTCCTCCTCTTCAGTTTATACATCCATCCATCTGTCTGGGCTGCTCCAGTCAACACACACTCATCTCTTTTTGTTTAACTATTAAACATCACACCCACAAGAATCAAAGCCAAGTACATCATCTTTATGTACAGAGACAGTCTAGGTCCATGTAACACCAGACAGATGTTTAATTTTCAATATCAAACGGAAATCAAACGAAAATGGCTTTCAAACTTTCATTATCCACTTTTTTCAGACCTCAAAAATGGATATTTGATTCCATTTATTTGCTTCTGTTTGAGTTGTTGATTCATAAATAAAATTACTCAGTATTTTAATTTTACGTTTCTGTGTGTGCAGCACAGGAGCTGACGACTATTTTCACTGAGGATTTATCCGTCAAGAATTTGTTTAAAAGCTGATTCGGTCTATGAAATGTCAGCCCAACACGTCGTCCTCGAATGTCTTGTTATGTCCACTGTCATGAACTAGGAAAGTCGAGGAGAAGATGTTGAAGCTGAAGTCAGAAATTTGATTCATTTTTTTTTTAAGTTACTCAAACAGATTGATTAGGATTGATTTAATAGCAGCCAACTAATTGATTTATTGCCTTCCAGTGCACATCCATGGACACGGTAGCGTTATGCATGTGGCACATCTGACCGTACAATAACTGGTGGGCTGCGTTTGGAGACGTATGAACATTACTCAGACTGGAGCCAGTGTGTCGTCTGTGTTGCTTTTGTTGTTATTTAGATCATATGCGCTCCCACCCACGACCGCAACGCGTGTGTGTCGGTATATGACGATAAAAATTCTCATATAAAACTAATAAGCGAATAAAATTAATGTAATAATAAATGAAAGGCTATGAATTCAATGAAAACATCATAAGACATCATCGTAATAATGCTGTTATCACTGTACTGGCCATCGAACATCACAAACTCAAACACGTCTCGTGTTACTGTGGGCAAAAAAATAATAATAAAAAAATAACCTAGCATGCAAGTACGCCTTCTTTACTCTTCATCTATATTTAGTTTACTGGAGCAGTGCTATTGTCAAGCTAGAAAACACAGACTAGTCTAGATATGTGCGCCCACTGTGCTACCACGAGTAGGAAGGTCAGTGCCAAGAGCATAATGCCAACCAAACACACTCCTAAGAATGATACCAAGGGCAGGGCTTCCTAGGATTGTGCGAGTGAGAGGGTTACGACAGACTGCTTAATGTTAACGCTAAAAATCAAGAAAGAGAGCACTCAAGGACAAAAAATAAACTCAGCACAGACTGACCCTCATTGGGCTTCTCATGAGAAGCAGATAGTCCTGCGTTGCCGTTCAAACTCCCTGTGTGCTGCGGTGATAATACTGGTGGGAAGATCACCGGAGACAGAGCATAGCATGAGTAATTGGATTGAGCTATTTTTCCACATTGGAGTGGGAGTGAAGGAAGGAGAGGGGGGGGGAGGGGGGAAGGAAAACAGAGCACAGGTGGGAGGCATCCGTACTGATTATTGGTGGTTATTGGCCACCTACACCGACTGACAGCAGGTTGTTACGCTGATAGATGTCAGAGCTGCACCTGCACAGCCACATGTATGAAAGTATTACATCTGAAAGTTTACTCAGTGTTTACTCGACCAGCATTTGCAGCATGTCATCATGAGGAAGGAGGAAGAAAGAAGATTGCAAATCTTTCTGCACGTATGCCAAGATATATATGCCTTAGGGCTACAACTACCTGATAAATATTATCATCACTCGATTAATCAAAAGGGCCTGTGACGTCCCAAGTGTCGTAAGAATTTCCAAAGCATTAGTCTTCCAGTCAACACTGCTGAAGTGTCAATATCAGGATTATTTTCCATAAATTGAAGGCCTTTAACTTAAAAAAAAAAAAAAAACTTAATTGTGAAATTGTTGCATACTTAATTTGCCACCTCATTGTGCTTGTATGGTGGTAAATTAGATTTAGATTAAATATGTGATAAGTGTGAGACTCTTACACTCCACTTTGACAGATTGGGTCAGTAATGCTGAGAATCCCAAAAATCTGTAATTTAATGGTCAGTTTCCCATTAACATGCATTAAATTGATCCTCGCGTGTGAAATAAAGATGCCTGTGAATCAGCTCGCTGAGAGGAAACTGCAATCTAAACGCATGTCGCAACACACGACGCAGAAGTGACAACGGCTTGAATGATTTTACAGTATTGACTCGAGGGAGGAGTCAACGAAGCAGCGCTGACCATTTTCACAAAGCTGCGATGAACAAAAACACAGAACCTGTTCCGTTGCTCTGTCTCGACAAGTCCCGTAGTAATTAGGAGGCTGTAATACAACAACAACAAAAACAACAACAACAACATTGTGAGAGTGCGCTGCGATGGCGTAACGCTAATCTCCGACATGAAAACAAAGTATGCTGGCTGACTTCCACACATTCCCCGCTTGTCAGGACGAGGCCTACTCTCCCAGATTCCAGCTAAGTCAACGCTCCATTCCTCCTCTCCCACTTTCACACGCACACATTCAGCAGCATCACAGGTAAAGTAGGTCAACGTGATTACAACACACAGACGGAGGTTTTACCTGCTGTTTCCTAGAGTCTCCTACTTCCTGTGCCTCGGCTCCTCGCTGGGGGTGTCTGGAGAGCTTCTGGGGAACTGCATCTGACGGACAAGAGGACAATACCAGCTGTTATGTGAGGGGGTAACTGCAGAATGTAGTTTATGTCTGGTTGTTGGTCGTCTAGTTGTGTATCTGAGAAAAATGATAGAATGGAAGGAGGACAGGACGGGTTGTATGAATGACAAACTACACACTGACCACATCTCTATAACCTGATGTTAGCTCTGCCATATGAGATAAAGCATCATAAAGTACAGAGAACTCAAACAAACTAACTCTACCGGCCAATCTATTCCCTCGGCCTCTATTTTCTGACATCTAATCATTCCTTTTGCTCGAGGTCATGGTGGATGTATAACTAAAATATATGAAAAAATAAAGAAAATCGCTGAGAAGGCTTATTGCCGCTATAAAAACATTCATCTGGCAGGCATTCCTGAACTCTGGAAAGTTTAAAAACTAAAACAGTTGCGTCCACAACAACATGCAGATGTGTCAGAGCAACATAATTTGAAAACTATGAGAGAGAAGCCGTGTATGATTCACCTTTTCCATTTTCTGTCTTGTTCTAACAAAATGATCGCCTCTTAAAATCAGCGATCGGCTACAACATTGAAACTGATGCGAGGTCGAGTGGATGACATGAATCATCTTGTTCATAAACCTTAAATCGTGCCGTTCATGTGGACATTACTTTGACACAAACCTACTCAGACATTGTTCCAGATGAAGCACACAACCCTGCGTAACACTCACAACAATACTAACCTCCCCAGTAGGCTACTGTGTACAAAAACTGCTCAGGAACATGTTGAGGAACACGACAAAGAGCTCAAGACGCTAACCAAGCTATCAAACTCCTCAGATTCCCAAATCACTCCCAACACTCAACCTACAGGATCCAGAAGATTTACCACCAACGTACTGGTGCCATGTCCTATGTCCTTGGTGCAACCAACGGGTCCAACATGACATCAGGCAGGTGGTTTTAATGTCAGTCACAGAAGTCCAAGTACAATAAAGTGTTTTGTCATAAGCAGAAGCACGAAGAGAAAAAACCAAAACAGTTCATCTACAAGGTGCTGAATCCTGTCAGCGTTCAAACTCTTCTCGACAGAATCCGGAGGGGCAACTAACGCCGCAGCTGAGGAGTCCTTATCTGACATCTGGGAGCCAAACTATCATTAAGAAGCCAGCATGAATTCACTTTGGGCTTCCCCAGAGCAAAACACCGATCCCATCGGAGTTGGTTATCTGAGAGAAAGCTCAACCTCGAAACATCAAAACAAACCGTATGGACGGAGAGCCCACGGCGGTCCATAGGCTTCCCCATCGCCATCGTCTGCCCACAGTTCAAAGAGCTGCAGCTATGGAAACTAAGATGTGAACTGGGTGATACGTTAGACAAACATACTGTGGCCAAAGACACACAGTGAGGCCATACACGCCGATGACACACAATGCACACACTCTGACTGAGGCCAGTAAACTTCCTGTCTGTTTTTCCCCAGTGGTTAAGATGCTCTATCTTGTTTACCAGGGTGTAGCACGGACAGAGAGCTTCACAAGAACAACTGCAGAGTGTGAGCGAGCCGCAGAGGTTTCAGCATCTCCGCGTTTATAACCGGGTAGAGAATAAATTCAAAGAAAGAGGTACGACTCTGGTTTGCCCCAGAGAGAGGGCTCTGAAAACATTTGGTGTAATCTCCACACCCGGCGACAGTAAAGCCTCACACGGGGGTGACGAGGTGCAGGAAGTCACCGATGATAAAATCTCCGGCGAAAGACGGTCAATGTTTAACTCCCCGACCGGATTCCACTCAAAGTATCACATGATTCACAGTCAGTGTGTTTTCTGTGTGCGACAGTCATTTTAGCAGAATCGTCTTGAGCAGCACAGACAGAGGGTTCACTATAGCGGCATCACAGATGACGTTTTCGCCAGAGGGCCAACCCCAAACATAGCTCGGCCGCAGTCCTGAAAATAAAACCTCAGTGTAACGTCAATGGCTTTCTCAGTTTGTTTTTAGGACGGGGCCGAAAATAACGTGTTTAATCACAGACCGTAAAAATCCTGACAGCCAACCACAGATCTCTGAAAGAATTTGTTTGACGTCTATAGTTTAGGTTTACGACTTGCCACCACTCGCGTTTTTCCAGGAACAAAACAAATCCCAACATCCTAGTATTCTTTTTTTTCCCTCAAGCTTTGTTTTCCAATAATTTACAAAATTTCAAGAATGCATTAATACAGCTTGGTTATGAAACAAGTTGTTTGAAGTTAACGGGGTCACCAATGACTTCAACATTAATCGAGCGTTCTTTTGTGTCTGAAGGGCATCTTAAAGCATTTCTGCATTTATTGCCTGACCAGCCTTGATACGGTGTCTAACAGGTATTCATGAACTGAATATCTCGACATAATTTATACTCTATAAATTACAAGAAGAAATAATTTGTCACATAGAAGAACTAGCGGGATGCTAAACTATGACGGTATTGCTCCTGCATACTTTCACAAGCCAGATTTTCATTGAGCTGACTTGCATTTTGTCAGCTGAATCATACACTTATTAAAACTGTACACAGTAGGGACTCGTGAGAGCATTTACGACGGTACAAAGCTAATGAAAAATAAAGAAAATGTTGTTCATAGTACTGCACAAAAATGCTGTAGGTAGTGCACCAGACTAGCTTCCACACCGGTTGCACAAACACATAATTTACTAAAATGTTCACCATAAATAACAGATTTAAGCGCCTCCTGTGTATCTTCAGATGCTGCTAGAAGACAGAGAAACCTGTCGTCTCCCAACTCAGTCACTGCAGCTCAGACAGATGTGGGCCTAAAAATTTAGTCTGGAAAGATTGAAATAATGTCAGATTTATACAAAACTGTGATTTTATCTCCGTGGGCGAGCTGCCAGACCCACTAGACAGGCCTGCTAAATGCTAGGTGTGACCTATGAAAATCCTGGAGCATCAACAGCTCCGCTACAACTTGTGGGGGAACATCATTAATCTGTTCTTTAAATAGAAACTCCATCAACAGTTTGTAGAACGTGTGAAAAAAAAATGTTTGTTTGAGCTGAGTGATCAGGAACAAAACAGAAAACCAAAAGCCACAGTCAGAGGATATTGAACACAAGCAGCAAGATACAGACGACCAGATTGTTTGTATCGTGAAATCTATGATGAAAGGAAACTGCATGAACGTAATCATGTTTAAAAATGATCCACTTCTAGCCTTAAAACTGACACAGAGAGCAAACTAGCACCGAGTGACTTATGTTTAAAGGCTTTTAATAAACGTACAGAAGAAATAATAAAATATTAGGAGTCATGTTTAGAAAAATATTGGTTTCCTGCCTTGAATCAGTTACAGTGAATGCACCAGTAAGATGTGACTGCTCGTTCAATTAGCAGCGTCATCAGAGTGACGGAGAGGAAGCCAAGAATGACAACTGCACCGGATTGTTGTAGCTCGTAAGGGCATTCACTGAACTCAAGTTATTTCTGAGGATAATGGCACTGGGAAAACACTTTCCAGCACAATGCACAGAGTGGAGGTTAGTGACGTTAGCCTCGAGTGTAATGCTCATCCAGTGTGGCAAATACAGACAGCTAGTCCTGGAGGCCGAAGTGACCCAACCCACACAAGATGTTCTCCTCTTCAGAGGCTCCCTGCAACACGCCATTACTCTTATCTTAACACCACGGCAAGAGTTTTACTTTGATAGGACTTTCTCTCTGCCCATATAACCACACACACACAAACACCCTTCCTCTCCTCCACCCATCCTCCGGTTCAGGAATGTAAGGAATGCACAATCCTAAAATGACTGGGGCCTTCATCAGCAACCGCGGCTCACACCGTCCCCCGTCTTGGGGCACTAACGCAACCCTTTTCTGCCATTGTGCCCATTTCTTACTGCTTGGGTCATGTGGGTCTGACATTCAGGGAGAAGGTTTTGACCTCTTGTTAGTCTCATTATGTCCTTAATTATCTTAAAACCTTCAGGACATAAAGGCCAGTGAGGGCTCCTATTGTAAACAGGTGGTTTTTTTTGGGCCCTAAGGGTTGCATAATAAACCAACTCTCCTCGAGGGCACTCCCCGTCTGACACTCCACCATTGTCTCCTCACTGTTCCACGTAAGCCTGAGGCCTAAGCATAAATAAATAGTACATGCTGTCAACAGGCAGCTAAAAACAAATGACAAATGGTCACTGCAGGAAAGCAGGCCTCAACTGGGTTTGGTGTTTTTACTACCACATTAAAGCGTAAGCCCTTAACTTAAGAACAGTTTGCTGTGCTTAAGACTATTAGACGTCATGTCTCGTAAATACAATTTAATTAATGAGCCAGAACATGCAAGAGGAACGCGAGGGGAATGCACTAGGACACACATTTTACGCACTGCCCAAACCGAGTGTGGTCTGAAGGGCCGTTACATTTGACCATGCGTCATCACTGCCTTACCATAAACAAAAGAGCTCTGTCCATTTTCTAAAAACAATACACACCCGCTCATTAGCACAGTGGGATGTTTACAACCCCCCCACCGCAGTAAAACACGAGAAACTCTCGCACAGAAGGGCTCTGCAGTCATTAAAGCATTTTATATAAAGCCTTTAAAATCAATGCTTGTCTTTGAGGTGCTTCTGTCAACCCGTGGCCTTTACCCACTTCTTCCGCCGTTTCCCTTTATTTAGCTTCTTGCTTCAATCTCTATTTATAGCGGCTATTGTGAGACTGACCTCAGGTGGGTGGAGTGCAAATGTGTCAGCGTGTTTATTCTCAAAAGTTTCTCTCGGACGCTGTAAATCAGTTACCTTCTGGCGGTCTGACTGAGCAAAGGTCCATCTCGGTCTACAGCGCCGTGGATGGCTCAGAAGACAAACACACACACACACCGGCAGAACCCAAGAAACACCGTCGCACCGTAATTACAACACGTACGGACACACGGTGACGCAGCAGCCCGAGAGCAGTCAGAGGTCACACGGCTTCACATGAGAAATAGGAAAACGGAAGTGAG